GTGAGATTGGTGTGTGGTCATGATTACTAAAACTAATGTTCTTCAAAACCTCTAATCATATGACATTTAAACTAATCTCACTCCCATTACTATTAATTCAATGCGTGAATTATGCAAAAGCTTTTTCTTTTTTATTTAAACAAAATTTAAAATTTTCTATAATTTTATCATTATTTTTTTAAATTTTGGGTTGAGTTGAATTTTTAGAAAAATAAAGAAATCAAAATGCTATTTTATTAATTTTTTAATACACCAAAAAGGAAATGCCCACTGACAAATTCTGTCTCAAATAAAATATAAATATAGAAAATAATAATTAAAATTAGGAAATTTTGAGGATGAACCTTCCTCCAAGTGGATCGGCTTTATATTAGTTTATGTAAAGTTGGAATATGGTTTTGCCTAATGCTCTTCTATCATATGCCCTTGCCTCTTTAATTATTCCCTTTCAACTTTAATATTATATATTATATGTATTCTACCTTTTTATCCAACTACCTAATAATTAAAGACGAGCGGTTGACTAATCGTACGAAATAGGTTCGTAGACCCTTGATGCTTAAGATCCTTACAAGAAGCATTGCTACATCATCAAATCGTGAACAATTGACGATGTGGTCTAATGAGGGTGTGCTTGCTTTCTTGGGCTCCGCTTGAGTTTAGAGAAAGGAACTAAGTTGTGGCGTGGAGATATGTTAGTAGATGACATTTATGGTGTTGGAGTCGCACAAGAGTCTTGGCATGCTTCCCTTGAAAGAAGCATACCTATAACGTTGCCGATACGTATACATAACGAGACCACCTTCACAACCTTCTCCCAAATGTTTGAATATACTAACATGATGTATGAATGAACTCAACATGGCATAATTCCATTAGATATTTCTTTCGGCTTTTACGTCGTACATAAGTGGACGACTAGTCTCCTACTTAAGGAACGATTTACTTGTAAATCATTTCATTTCATTTCATAAAAGGAGTAAAGTTTTGGACACCCAACTCAGTGTTTACATTTGACGGTCGGCTATGAAGGGATCTGTACAGAAATTGGTTTAGTTTGGTTCAAATCAAGTATTCATAATAAACTAAGAAAAGGGCGTCTGGATATTCCTTTGGCAGGCTGCTTATATAGAGATAGAACCGTGACAGATCTTCCTTGGAGACTTTTTCAGTGTCAACCACATCTTCACTGCAAGTTAGCACCCACAAATCCTCTGATTTGATCCTCTTCAAGCTCCCCCGACAAAACGGGCACGACTCCGATCTCGTGTTCCTACAAGTCATTCACAAGCAAAGACATTAACGCAGTCGAACCCAGAGCCCGATGGTGATGATCTAGGAAGGTTTGTATGTATGTAGTTACCAATTGTGGTAGCATTTGATGCACATTGAATGGCAGCAGTTTGGCAACACCATCTTTGTGGAAGCTTCTAAGCAAATCCCACATTCTTCTTCTCTCTCTACATCACCATTAGAGAGCTTTCCATCTCCTTGGACTCCCACACGCTTCTCCTTAGCGTTATCCAACTCCTTGGCGTTCGCTTGGAGCCGTTGAAGGGATGGCAATATCACAGCTGAAGTAGCACGTTGGTTGGACTCAAAACAAGCTCATATACTCAAACTCATACAATATCAATACCACAATAGACCAAGCCTAATGATATCAAATACGGGGCATAATGTGAGATCCCACATCGGTTGAAGAGGAGAACGAAACATTTCTTATAAGAATGTGGAAACCTCTCCCTATCAATTGCGTTTTAAAAACCTTAAGGGAAAGACGGAAAGGAAAAACTCAATGAGGACGATATTTAAAGTTCATGCTCCTACCATCATGGATGTGTGTGAAGTGTTAGAGGTGCTAGAACAGGTTTGTGCATGGGATTAGAGAAGTGTTTGGGATACAGAACTCCAAAACAGAGTGTTTGAAGGCAAGAAAATGTACCATAAAAATCTTTGAGAGTGGCCTTTCTTCCATGCGCTGATAGGTTGGGTCTTCCATCTGTGTAAACCTGAACAGCACCATTTGACAGAACAAACTAAGACACATAAACATCAAAACAAAGGCACATTAAAGAGGTGAAGAAAAGAGAGACGCGCCTTGTAAACAAGTATGTGGAAGAAATTTAGGTATCTGGGAAGAACACATGTGCAAGAACAATCCACCCATTGCATCAAAAACAGAAGCAGTGGAGCTAATTGACTGTAAACCAGTTTCATTTGGAGATATGAACCATGTTTGGCTCTTGGAATTGCAACAGCCCTGCAAACCCACCATAGTTTCCCTCCATAATTTCATCAAAACCACTAAACCGATCGAAATTTGTATGAACTGGGAAGATAAAATGAAAAAAATGAAAAGGGAAAAGGGATACTCACAGAGCATTGGCGCGATTTACATCTTCTTCGAGGACTTTCAGAGAATCCTTACAAGAAGACCTCGATAGCCGATAATACATAATCCCACAACTTCGAAACCCCCAAAAATAATATACCCACCAAATTCTTTTCTTCAAGAACGTGTTTACAGAACACCCAGAAGAGAAATTTGGTGGTAATTGATTAGAAGAAGAAGATGAAGAAGAAGAAGAAGAAGAAGAAGACTGTCGTTTCACTCCTCCGGCGATTACCGATAAGGAAGGGACAGCGGCGTCTGAGAAAGCGATGCTTCCTTCCTCCTTTTCCCAATTTATGTGTAAAATGTCAAAATTGTTGTTTATGTTTCCACTACCGAATTCAACACGAGCAGTTGGTTTCCCCTTTTTCAAAATTACTCCAAAAACCATCATTTTCAGTAATTATGTTTCCTTCCTGAATTAAACTCTCATTAATCACAAATTAAGTCTGTTTTAGTAATAATTCAATTCAAACTATACCCATTAGCTTGTCTCGTCTCATCTTTTTAATAAACTCTTTGGGTCCCATTCCAAGTTGACTTTTCTTCTTTTAAATAACTAAACTTAAAATTCTTTAGAAACATCAAATATTGAAGAGTCGAAGTACGGAGAGGAGGCGCCGGTGGGATTTTGTTTAACCAATTGGTTGGGCAGTGGAAAAGTTCTAATTTTGAGGGAGTTTGCTCATCTACTTCACCGACCCATCATCCGTTTTCATAAATCAAACTCTCTAAACCCTTTAAAACCCAAGTTTCTACGCCCAAAATCTCCCCCATTCAAAGATGGAGGAGCTTCATTGCATTGAGCACCTTAAATCCCAGCCCTTCTGGGTTTGCTTCCTCTTCGCATTGGGTTCTCTCTCCGCTCTCAAACTCTCGGTAATCCTTCTGAAATGGATCTATGTCAATTTCCTCAGACCCCCAAAGAACCTCAAGAGATACGGCTCCTGGGCGCTCGTCACCGGACCCACTGATGGAATCGGCAAGGGTTTTGCTTTTCAATTGGCTCGCAAAGGCCTCAATCTGATTTTGGTCGGTCGGAACCCCGAGAAACTCAAGGACGTTTCCGATTCAATCCTCGCTAAATACGCCAGCATCCAAGTAAAGAACGTCGTCGTTGATTTCTCCGGCGATGTTTCAGAAGGGATTAAGAGGATCAATGAAGCTATTGAAGGGTTGGATGTTGGTGTTTTGATAAACAACGTGGGGGTTTCGTATCCGTACGGGAGGTTTTTTCACGAGGTGGATGAGGAGCTTCTGAAGAACTTAATCAAGGTCAATGTTGAAGGCACCACGAAGGTGACTCAAGCTGTTTTGCCTGGAATGTTGAAGAGGAAGAGAGGTGCCATAGTTAATATTGGTTCTGGTGCTGCCATTGTCATTCCTTCAGATCCCTTATATGCTGTCTATGCCGCTACCAAAGCGTAAGCCCCCTCCATGAAGCTATGCATAAATAATTCCCCTATAATATGTTGGCTGTTACTGGAAGACATGACTGTTGCAATTTCAGGTACATCGATCAATTTTCAAGGTGTTTATATGTGGAGTACAAGAAGAGTGGAATAGATGTGCAATGCCAGGTAAAAATAAGTATCCTGCCAACCAGTCTGAAACAATGTTAAAAAGCACTTTTTGAGCTGTATCTTGTGGTTGATGCAGGTTCCTTTATATGTTGCTACTAAGATGGCATCAATTCGGAGATCGTCCTTCTTCGTTCCCTCGACCGATGGATACGCAGCTGCAGCTCTTCGGTGGATTGGGTACGAGCCTCGCTGCACACCATATTGGCCTCATCAACTTCTCTGGGGTTTGGCGTACTCGTTGCCGGAGTCTGTTGTCGATGGTTGGCGCCTGAAGTTTTGCCTTGGCATCAGAAAGAGAGGACAACTCAAAGACTCCATGAAGAAAGAGTAGGAAGATGCTTAGTTCTAATTTATGGAGAAGAAAGAACCTTTCCCCTTCCCCCCTCCCCCTCCCCCTTAGTGTCGGTTGAAATTTGGCCTAGAAGCATGCTAGATTTGAATGTCTTGAGTTTTATGCTTCTTTGATGACCTTTCAGTATATTTCTTCAATTTTATGCTTCTTTGATGACCTTTCAGTATATTTCTTCAATATATTCTTCCTGTGAAAGGAAAAAGAACATAGATAATGGATGTGCTCCATTTGACTCTTATTATCCAGGAAATTTGCTTTAAATAGTGTTTGAAGAAATATATATCCATTTTAAAACTAAGAAGCAAAGTTTTAAAGACTCGACAAATCACTTATAAAATGCCCGGCTCGGCTGCTACGTAAAAAAAACTTCCCACCTCATTCTGGTAGGAGGTATGGGGGAGGAAACCATGGTTAGCTTTATAAGGCCAACCAGATTAATTAACTTGTCATCCTACAAGAAACGCCACTAGGTAGTCTAATGTTCTACACTAATATCAAACAGGAAGCCATATGAATCTGGCATTACTTTTCATCAAGGACTAGAGCTTTCTACTTTATCAACCTATAAAACATCTCACTCTAGGTATAAACAGACGGTAAAAACTGCGTAATGCTGAACAAACATGCAAATGTAAAGGCATTATTATATGTGCAGGCCGCCAAACATCTAGAATAACATACTGCTCGATAATCTGTGTAAGGCATGGACCGGCTACATAAAGGATTTAAGAACAGCACGCAGGAAAAGTTATAAAGAATTTGCATAATGGACTATGGTTTTTGGACAGAAAAGAACCCCACAAGATATTATCATATAGCAGGTGACAAATCAACGATCCATGGATATTTGACCTAGACTATATGCTACTACAGCATACTTCATCACAATCAACAAAGGTCGGGTAAATGGAAGTAAATATCTCTTACTCTCACTAAATTGATGCTGTTCCAGTGGGTAATTTATGAGAAACAAGCACGGCTTCATTACTTGCAGCTTTCTTCGCAGCAAGCTCCTCTAGACGTTTCCATGTGGCTTCTTGTCTTGCTTTTACCTCATTTTCCTTCAATTCGTCTTCCTGAAACTTGACTAAGCATTCCTTGAGAAGATCAGGATCAAGATCATAAAATATCTTCCGGACATTCAAAGTCAAGCTATGAACAGCCTGATTCCAGTGACTTCTGGCATTCTTTTCCAGAGCTGGAAAGATTATGGGCAGTATGATCTTGCGGTTTTCCTTGATCAAATTTTCAATGTGATCATTATTCCACAAGAATAGCGCCCTTTCTGCTACCTGGGAAAGCAAAAAGCTGCATTAGCGTAGGATTCAAGATTCAAGAACGTATGGAAGTTCACACCCCTAGGCAACATCTCTAAATCAAGTACTTCATTCTAGGCTCCACATGCCAAATACCCAGGAGTTGTAATGCCACAAGTCCCCCAGAGTGAGATGTTTTTCTAGCGGAAAAGTTTATTGGAACTATGGAAAATAACAAAAATGAGGAAATAGACGATCTTCTCACAGCAGTATTACCTAATTCACATCCTTAAACATTCAAACTTCCTGCTTACTAATTACAAGCTTACAAATAGCGACAGGTGAAATCCAAGCAATCAATAAAAGCAACTAGTACCTGAAAATGTGGACAGTTTAGACACCGAGCAATCCGGCGAAACAGGGGTACCATACAGCGCTGAAACTCTGGAAGTTGAGTAGCTTCTAATACTTCTTCCAACTCACTGAGGAACATTACTTCTTTTGAACTATTTGTAACTGGCCAATACTTCAATAAACCTCTTATGACTGTATCAGCAAGCTTGCAATCTTTCTCAACAAATTGTGTGATGCAGTATGATAACTGCTGATGGTACATAGCTAGGCATTTTGGTTTATGCAAAGGAATCAAAGCACGAATAAGGAATAACTTGTGCTCTTCTTTAAGAGGAAGAGCGAACCCATTGATGATGCTTCCCAAAATTTCCAAGAGTTCAGCTATCCCATTATGCTTTTCTGTCTCGAAAATAAATCGATAAAATATGTTATTTATGACTTTTCTAATAAAAGGTCGGTGTACCATAAACTTCCCATAGATACGGTGCAGAATAGTTTTCAAGTATTCTCTTTCTCTAGGATCTTCAGAGTCAAACAAATCCAGCAGTTTCAGAATGAATGAATGATCGATGTATCTTTTAGCCAATTTCGCATCCATCTCAGGTGAGGCCACAAATCTGAGAAAGAATTCATAAACAATTTGCAAATGAGGCCATGCAGGATCCATGGACGGCTCCTCCTCCTCCAAATCAAAACCTTCCACAATTTTGTTCTCGCGCGATTGAGGGCTCATTGTTCTAAATAAATTAAGGGAGACCATTTTTATAACTTCCTGAATGACAATTTCAGTAAACTTGCTATTGACAGAAGTTACATAATCCACAATCTCCAACAAAGTTTGTCGCTTGATCTCCTTCTCTTTAAGGTGCTTTGTTGGGTCACTGAAGTCGAACAAAAAGCAGCATAGATTCAGTTTCTTAACAAACAAATTCTGCTTTTCAGAGTTTGGAACTTCCCTAAACCCGGGCAATGGCTCATACGAAGATGTGGGAATTCCATTCAGTTTTGTATTTGCACCTTTATTAGCCTTGCTACCATGATTTTTCCCAACATCTTGGACAGGGTTCGTGGCTGGAAAAGAAGAAACCAAATTTGCTGACTTGCCAGATGCTAAATCATTACTTCTTGAACTGGCAGAAGCATAAGCAGTAGAAGGTGCCGTATGGCCTCCACCATGTTCCCTACTCTCAGCATTCTTCGATGATTTTCGGGGAAGCTTACTAAATATCTGTTTGATCATAATTCATATAAACCTATAAAGTAACAGAAAAGTAAAACGCTCTTTTCTTTGGCCTCCAAAAGTTGTTGAGCGCTACTACAATTCTATCAATCCAGAAAGCACTCCATTTTTCCCATGTAAACCGGAGGAAGCAGTAATCATAGCAGGCACTTTACCAGCATAAACGAAATGAACCAAGCAAACCAAAGCCACCCTTTTCGTCTAAACAGTAAGCAGACTCATCCCAGAACCCTGTCCTGAACTCATTTGATTCAACAAAACACCAAGAAGCGTAATCGAACATATAATCGGCGATTCCGGAAAACCTAGTCAGCGTGCTTTGACCCCAGATTTGAATCCAAACACCCGAACGACCAGAACACTCAATACCGAAGATCTGAAATCCCGTTCCGAAAACGATTCTAAAAAATCCCCAGTCAAAAAAGAGAGCGAATTAAGCAACAATCAACACATATCCGTCGGAATTCTTCCGGCCAAGTCAGTCTTAGGGTTCAATTTGAAATTGAAAACAAAAACACGAAAGCGAAGGGTGGGGATTTGGAATGGCGACGAGATACAAAAAAGGCCAAGCGAGAACAGGGGAACAGAGAGCCCCAGAATCCGATAAAAGGAAGGATTTGTAAGGGGGGAAATGGGTTCCGAAATACTTACAGAGAGAGAGAGTAGTGGGTCTCTGCTTCGCGTTTTCTCCTCTTTGTGGCTTCCGCTGTTGACTGATATTTCGAATCAACAAATAAACCCCTTTTTTTTTTTTAGTTCCAGTGGTGGATGCCCAATCACAATGGGCCTCTTCCCTAATAAATTCGAATTTGTTGTATATATATACACGTAGATGTTGATTTATAAATTAAAAACCACAACTTTATTGTGATTTATATATAATACATATTATTTAGTTTGAATTCAACGTTTGACTTATTATATCAGTTGAATTATGCTTACAATGTCAATTAAAAATGATTCAATTTAATTTGAATTAAATCTGACCCATGGAAGATATTTTTATTTTTATTTATTTAATAGAAAATGGGAAAAACAATTTTTGCTAATTTATATCATATTGGAATTTAAATTTGATCTAGTCCGACTGTTTTTATAATATTTTAAAATTTAGAAACAAAATATTATTATTATTTTAAACTGAGCTCCTATCGCAACAAACACGCGAGAAGCGAGAAATCCAACTGCAGAGATCCATCGTAATCCAAAACTACAATTTTGAACCGTCCGATCAAACAAATTCAACCCAAAGCCCAAACCTCATCAACTCCAACGGGCCCACATCACGCTGCCAAAGTCAATGCCGTCGGTCTGATCAACATCCAACGCCCATAAGAGAGCATCGTTGTTGAAATCAAAGCTGCAACGTATTAGATTCCCGCTCCCGCCACAACGCAACCACTGGCATTCAACCAACACGTGTCATTTTCTCTTTCACTCTCTCTTTCAATGCGGACGATTCACCGTTACACTTCGGTTTCTCCTCTCTCTAATTTTTTATTTATTTAAAATTAAAGCCCTATTTTTACACTTTAATCTACCCACTTCCAAACATTTAAATTATATAATTTTAATAAATCTCAAAATTAATCTATATGTATTAATTTAATGAATTTTATTTTATTTTCAATGTGTGTGAAAAAAATGAAAGTAATTTTTTTTATTAGATATTTGTTATTATTAAGAATTAAAAAAAAAAAAAAAAGAGATTTTTGACGCTTTTCACGTTGTAGAGAGCCTTATAATTTAACCTTTTGTTTTGTTTTATCGCACTTTCCTGCACTTTCTCTCTCTCAACTCGATCGGCAGGTTCCTTACCCTCCGCGCTCGCTCGCTCTCTCTCTTGGAGTCGAATTTCCTCTCGAGAAAGATAATCGTTTTTCTCTTTTTCCGTCTAAAATTCCCATCCAGAGAAAATCTTCATTGCCGAGGATTCGATTCCAAGAGATCCATACTTTGTTTCTCGATTACTTCATCTGTTCTTCATATGGTATCGTTCTTCATCACTTTGTTTTTTCTTCTCTTTGCTCATCACATTCTAAGGTTTTTCATGTCCTACTCTTTCTTCAACCGCTCCGGTTACGTTTGATTGTTTGTTTGTTTTTTTTTTCTTCTTTTCGAATCTGCTGGTTTGTTTGCCTCTAACTACTTCTGATTCAGGAATTTAGGTGAATATAGAAAAAACGAAAACGATTAATAGTTGAATTAGTTTGAGTTAATTTTAAAAGCGAAAAAGATTGTCGTTGTTTCTTATTATGTAGATACTTTCGACGCGATTGATCATCGTTCCCCCTCCCCCAATTTTTGATCGAGCTAAGAACGTTTTTTTTTTTCCGCAAGAAACTCTGAATTTCTGGTGCGTTGTTTTAGTCTGCCATCCAAATTAGGGGTTTCTTGTAATTATTTATCACTTTTCCTTTTGTCTTCCCCTTCTATTTCATTTCCCATGCCTTTCGCCTTTTTTTCGTAGTTTTTTCTTGGAGAATTTTGGGAATTTAGGGTTGTAGATTTAGGTTGGGGTAGGTAGGATCCGTGATGGCTCTTAATTTCTCTTGTCGTCCTATCTTTCCCTTGCACCATTCTGAGGACAATTTAGTTTCTCCAATGAGGATTGCCAATGGTTATATTGTTGATGGCATTCATGAGAACAATGCCGAAAGCTGTGGAAGGCTATTTCATCTTGGCCGGGAGGTGGATGCTTGTTTTGATCGTGGAAAGGATATATGTTCAGATAGTTCGCAGGGCCCTGGCACCGAGGACATTCTTGATGTTTTACCTGCTGATCCATTTGGCATGGATATAAGTACCACTTTTACAGCAATTACAGGATGGCTTAAGGACATGGAAGTGGACTATGCTGAGTGTGTCAGCGACAGGGGTGGTGCTGGCGAAGGGAACGCTGAATTATTTGCAGGTCTGAATTTTATTTGGAACAACGCTCTGAAGTTCCAAGCCTTTCCCGAGATTAAAAGAATTGTTCAGAAGCCTAATCCGATGTGTAGCTGTGATGGGTGTCTGGATGGAAAGGAAACTGGCGATGTGACCTGCTGTTGTGATTTTGGATCCATTTGTAGTGTGACTGAAGTATCTTCTGCTAATGACGATCCTCCTAGCTATTGTGAGCAGCAGGTTGCAGAATGTCAGGAGCAGAATTGCATCTATTGGGAGGTAGATGGAGGAGCTCCTCATGAAGGCTTAAGCTTTGCTCTTTATTATTTAGGTGTTCAGGATCTCTGCTCTATTGGAAGGGTTTGCCGATCTCTGCATTCAGTCGTACAGGGGGACCCCCTTTTATGGACGAACATTCACATAGATCAACCATTGAACGAGAAGATAAGTAATGACATTCTTTTGCAATTAACTAACAGGGCTCTAGGTAACCTGCAATGCTTGAGTCTGGTGGAATGCCCAAGAATTACAGACGAGGGCCTGAAGTGCGTGCTTGAAAGCAATCCTAGGCTGACAAAAGTACGCATAACTTCTTCCATTTTTTGCTCTTTCATAATTAGCTGAATTGTCTCGTTGTTTAATTTGAAATTCCTGTCTTTGCATGATCCATTTACATTCAGATTCACAGTTTATTTTCCTTTATATTGGCACTTGGATATGTTACCTACCTAGCTTGATGTTATGAATCACTGCTAGAAAGCCTTGTACATACTTTTTACTTTCTGTTATTTAGGTTTCTTTTTTGAGTTTGAACATTTCCTGAGTTTCCTAATGATGTTATTTCGAAGCAGAAGTTTCTTTATTGACACATTGAACTGGAATTACTAATCTAGGTTAGTTAGGATGTCTTATGCTAAAAGCCACAAAGTTGCTCATGTCAGCATTCGCATTAGTGTTTTTAAAATTGGTACAGGGATATTCGTAGGACACGTCAACAAGATTTATCTTTGACACGCGTTTGATCCTAACACTTGGCAAAAAAAATAGTTTCCACCAGGGGCGCTATTTTGTGCAAAGTGTGAATATGCAACTTCTTAGCACTACATCATGCTATAATTTACTGACCGAGCATGTTACTAAAATATTTGTCCTTTGCATGTTTATGCAGTTGTCTGTTCCTGGATGTACTAGACTCAGTATTGAAGGAGTTATTAGTAGCTTGAGGGCTTTCAAGTTGACAAGTACCCAAGGAGTGAAACGTCTAAGAATCGGTGGATTATATGGGGTGACACAAGAACATTTTAAAGAGTTGAAGTTCTTATTGGGAAGTGACTGCAACCTCATGCAGGAAAGTTCTTATAAGCCACATTTTTATCACAGGGGAAACTTTTATGTATCTTGTGATGATGAACGCGCTATTGATATTGAAATTTGTCCAAGATGCGAAAACCCGAGGCTTGTCTATGATTGCCCAGCAGATGGTTGTCCGGGAGGCGGACTTGCAACTCAGGCATGTAGGGCTTGCACTCTTTGTATACCGCGGTGTGTCCAGTGTGGTCGATGTGTTAATGAGAATGAGTATGTGGAAACATTTACTTTGGAATTGCTTTGCTCAGATTGCTGGAAGCCATTACTGAAGTGTAGAGAGAAACAGGATTGCAGGGATCAATCTGCGCCTGTGGAACAGGAAGATGGCTTTTTTCTACATGGCTAGAAGGGCAACGTGCACTTCATGGGAAAAAAGAAAAAAAAAAGAGAAAAAACCACAAAAAAAGAGCTTCCTTCAGGTTCTCTTTCTGGCAGCTGCCATGTTAATCATATCAAGAGTTGAAGGGGACGAAGACGAAAAGCCAAAAAAATATATTATATATATATATATATCCAGTGTTGAATGGTACTTTAAGAGAATAAGTAGCAAATCAAATTAGTGAGTGAGGCAAGGAATAAGACGAACAGTCTGACTTTTTACTATCGCTGTTTGATGTATATATATTGTTGATCAAGCTTGGATGAAGACCTCTGTGTGGATCTAGGATCTTAATCGTACCATTAATAATGAATGGTGTCTCTATTCTACAAGGATGTACTCTGCCCTGACTAAGCTCAGCTCTGAGGCTATCAGAAAAAGGAACACAAGCTGATATCGGTCCAATATCCTGAGTTTCTGGTATCTGCATGGTATGTGGGAAGTTTGGCGTCTCTGTTATAGTCTTGGTATCTTCATGAATAAAGCTGGCCGTGGATGGGATTTCTTCTTGGCCTTGTACATTCTCAGGTGCTTTACGCTGTTTATCGAAGTTGCTTCGGCACCCTTCCAAGCTGCTCGATAGAACTCATCTCAACATTTTGATTTGATGCAAGTATATCCTCCTTTCGTCATCCTGCATTACTTTTGCTTGTGTTGGACTAACCTGTGGATCTGGACAGGGGGATGAAATAAACAATAAATGTTATTGTATATGTGGAAGTTGTGTACTTCCTCTTGGCTAGGCCAGTTCTAGCCTAATTATCACCAAAAATAAACTCTCAGGCCTGTTTCTTATTGTTTTGATTATATAATTGAACATCCTTTGGCCTGTTTACAGAAATGCTTTTTAGATGTTAACCAGATTTTGCATGCCATTGTCATCATGAGAACATCAATGCAGACACCAAAGAAAGGGCGGCTCATACCAATCATAGGCTAAAATTGAATGTGTATTAAATATTACCACCCATGAAATCATGGAACAAATACATGTTGGGAAATGGAATTCCGAGACAGAGGAAACAATACATCACATTCAAACCAAAAATCATCGGTAAAATTCAACATGCCCAGCTATCTCCCTGCAAAGCAATTTGGCGTCGCTTGCCAACTTTATGCTCTTAGAAATTGCAACTCCAGTCTGCTTGTGTGTGGATGTTGGCTTATACGACTCGACCTCCTCCTCTCTTCCCAATGATAAAGCCTCCCTTGCAGGAACAACATTTTCCCACCAAAATTCCCTTAACATTTCATGAATCAATTCCCAGTAACCACGTTCTCTACAAACGCGAAATATCGTGCTTCCATTTGGTGTCCAGCAGTACAAATCCGCCCACTCCCTGTCCATTATCTCCAACTGACCCTGTACCTGTGGCATGTAATAGAAAGGCATGGTCGACCAGGGCAGTCCCTTCTCGGGCTTTCCCTTGTTGTATGGACATTTGACTTCCAGGATCCCACCTCCTTGAAAGCATCCCAATAGGCCGTCGGGGGACGCGCCTAGCCATTCCAATTGCTGTTCAGAGTGAGTTGCAAATCCTAAAAAGCTCACATCTCGCCCTGTGATGCTTTTATACCGATGGATGGCATTTTCTTCATTGAGCACACCCCACTCCATGGCATACTGCTGTCGTGCTTCTGGTTTTTTAATCTCTGAAGGAAACACTTTCTCATGCCATAGCTCAAAGCGACGGCTTCCTTTCCAGAAGCCTAAGGCTGTGCTGAATGTGCTAGTAGTCAGCTTGTCTCTCCTCAGCGCAAACCATTCTTCTGAACGCTGAGGGGCATCCGATGGGGTGACCTGGGAAGCTACAATCAAAGCTGAGGGTAAACGGATGAGCAGTGGGTTGGTTACGGATTTAGGCGGTGAGATGCTTGTTGAAAAGGTTCTTGAACCATTCCATTGCTTTCGTTTTGAGAACAGCCTTGCATTTGATCTAGGATGTGTGCAGCAGATTCTAGCAATAGAGGTGTTGCTCATTGTTGACAAAAGGGCAGTGTCGATTGAAGAGTTACTTTGATGAGGCGTCCTGCAAAACCAACAGACTGCTAAAGGTTCAGCCAAGAAAATTAGGCTAAACAGCTTTTGCTGGTGAAGCATAAAAAAAGTACAAACAATTATTATAGCCATGGTGTTGACGAGCTTGTTACCTTCTATGAAGAAAAGAATCAATTTCTACTCTTCTTCATAGCAACAAGCGACTTGGCATGCAAGAAAACAATCTAAAACAGTGAAAGGAATCTTCTCAACACTTCAAGAAATGACTTGCTTCAATTTTGGATGCTATAAGCAATCAAATTTTTACCAAATGCGTGAAGTTCTCCCAAGGACAATGCAGAGTTTATAAATTTCAAATTCACAAATGATAAATCCAAGATATATATTTAGCTCTTTTCAAGAAATGAACTCTATGTATAGTACTTTCTTTCTGTTTCTCTAGCCCTAGAAAACTTTGATTCGAACTTCATGAATGATTTTAGACATAAAATTGGAAGTACGAAGTTGAAGATAACAAGATTAACTTTCAAGAACAGAAAGTTGAAAAAGAAAATGATATCATAAGGGCGCCAACAGTAAGAATGCCAAGCTGAAAAACTTGTTTCTAATCTTCATGAAGTAGAAGATAAAGACGGAGAAAAAGAAGAAAAACCATCTGAATATTGAAACGGGAACCCAAGCGTAAGCCCGAAACCGAATCAAAATACATACAATAACAGGAAACGAGTAGCAGATAAGGTGTTTGATAAAGTACCCGAAAGAGAAGTTGAGCTGAAAGCATCAACTTGAGGAGGTGAAAATGAAGCGACGCGCGGCAATCGATTGAAAGAGGAATCTGCATGAAGAAAACTTCGAGACGCAACAGATTGAGAAAAGGAGACCGCAGCGAGCTTCATCCTTCAATTAGCAGATTATAGAACAGAGGAGAGAGGCGCCATAGAAATTAAACTTGAAGCTCGAGCTGGTAATTGCGTAGATGGTGGGTTTAGGGGTGCAAATAAATTGCATTGAGGGTTTCTTCCGCCGGTGCAAACCAGGGTCGGGCCCCTTTTCTGTACAAAATTTTGATTACAAGTTCTCAACTTTTGGGCCGTCTGCAAATCTCGCTTGGGATATTATTTAGAAGATAAGGTTTCTAATATATATATATATTATTATTTTTTAAAACAAAAAAATAATATAACTTTTGGTCAAGGGCTTCAATGGTGTAATTTCTAGCTCATTAATTAAATTGCTTTAATTATAAAATTGTTTTTATTTTTATTTTTATATTTCCATTAAGTTTTTATTAGCTATTTAATTTAAATGCCCATTTAGGGGTTATTTTAAATCTAAATTTATTAAACAACATGGATTTATTTTCTTAATATTTAGATATTCCCTCAGTAAAAAAGAAAAACACTCGAAACCATTATAGATAAGTCAAATTATGGTGCAAGAAATGACGATTTATATTTTCAAAAGAAAAAAAAGCCTTAATTTTTTTAGTGTAAAAGACGAGTACCATTTGCCTAGAATAAATTGATAAATAAATAAATAATACATGCGTTATACCAATTATATCATATTTGATACTAATAGGATTTGTATATTTGTATGATAATGTGATAATACTGATTAATGATATTGGACTAATATGGATTAAATCAAATTTAGAGAATAATAATAATAATAAAAGGAAAAAAAGAAAAAAGAAATCCTAAATTCCAAAAAAGTCATAAAAATTCATAATTTCTCTATTTCTACTTTTTATCCGTACGATTATTCCCTGTTTCTCCGGCATCACACGCGACCTTCGCCTCTTTGCCTTTCCCTGTTCACTGGCTTCAACCCTCAGACTTACGGTCTACGGACCTGCAAGGACTCAGTCTGAGCTCACAGTCCCTGAAAGTTAAAGAGAAATGGAAATTCAACCCACTGCTCCTCAATCCTAACCTGTGGGTTCATCGGTAATACCCTCCAAGTCCCATCTTCCTCGAAATTTGACGGAATCCCCTGATTCAGAGGTATGTACTTGTCTGATAAGCCTCGCCCAATCGATATTTACAAAGAAGAAGGCAGCAGAGATATGATGATCGAGGTGGCTTCTAATGGCGACCATCATATTCAACCTCATCAGCCACAACAGACTCATCAGCAGCACCAAATGATGCTCGGCGATAGCAGTGGTGAGGATCATGAAGTCAAGGCGCCGAAGAAGCGGGCGGAGACTTGGGTTCAGGATGAGACGAGAAGCTTAATTTCACTACGAAGGGGGATGGATGGATTGTTCAATACCTCGAAATCGAACAAGCATTTGTGGGAGCAGATATCGGCTAAGATGAGGGAAAGAGGCTTTGATCGCTCTCCGACTATGTGTACTGATAAGTGGAGGAACTTGCTGAAGGAGTTCAAGAAGGCTAAACACCACGACAGGGGAAGTGGCTCTGCTAAGATGTCGTATTACAAGGAGATTGAAGAAATTTTGAAGGAGAGAAGCAAAAATGCGCAGTACAAGAGCCCTACGCCACCCAAGATTGATTCCTACATACAATTCTCAGACAAAGGTAACTTTCGATTCTTGGCATTGGGAGGGTGAATGGGATGGTGCTATGCGGCGAATCTCAACATTCAGGAAAATTCATCACCCACAAACTTTAGGTCTACTTTCACTATTTAGCAATACCTTAATGTTATAATTCTCCGCAAACTTATTCCTTCAAACATGCTGTGTTCTGATTTATGAACAATTATAGTACTAGGATATCATCCCTAAAAGGGTTCAGCTGTATATATGAAGATATTTGGATTTGGAAATGATATATCCATCTGAATTGACGTTAGTAGTGTAGAAATTTAAAGTGGTTCTTTATTTTGTTGTTCTTAGTCTTCTCGGGGGGTGGGGGATCATCTTTGTTTTCTGTTTTCTTTCCTTAATCAGGTAAAAAAAATTATCTTTAAGTTAGTTAGGTTCGTGAAATATGATGTGCAAATAGTAGGAGCAGTAGGTTTTTGATTAGTCTGGTTTTGGGGTCACAAGAGAACTGTGACAAGCATTGTAATTTTATCCCAATGCAGGAATTGAGGATAATGCTCTATCGTTTGGACCTGTCGAAGGTACGATCTACTTGTTATTTGCTGTTACTTTAATGTTATTTGTTTTACTATTGTCTTCACATAATATTTGCTAGCACTCATCATTCAACTTTGAGTTTTTTTGTGTGGCTGTTGATAGTTTCTAGCATTCATCATTCAACTTTTACTTTTCTGGAAGGGATGGAGAATGGCAAAGAAAATCACACGTAGTGGATTTGCTGTTTAATTGTGGAGGGAGATTCTAGTATGCACCACATATAATTATAAAACTGCCTGTGGAAACTTGAGATTTCTAGTTTACATTTTTCAAGAGTGACATTATGTAAAAGTTGAATTCTTGGCATACTAGGAAGAAAAGGACAGAACTGATAGTACAATGAGGATCATATCAACGGTTGTAGCACGTTCTAAGCTGGTGGGATCTCTTGCACCATAGAATCATACCATGATTATAATTCCTATGATTCTGTATAGATATAGAATAAACTCATTAGCTGCTTTAGAACATGACTTGACTGAACAAGGCATATGCCATGCAATTAATTTCTCGTGTGCATCTAAAATTGGTTCCTATGTCCAGGGTATAATTTTTCAGTATATGAAAATATGTTCAGCACATCTCACTTTGTTGTGCCTGTTGACGAAGCAACCATTTGGGTAATGTCAATTAAGTATTAGTCTCATCACTGTCGATTTTCAGGCCTATTTGGCATATTACACTATCCCTGATATCTGATTGAGACTCCTAGCATACAGCACTTGAAGTG